AATTCTCTACTATTCTTTTTTCCAAATCTTTATTTGTGGGTTTCTCTGTTTTAAGCCTTAAGATCTGAAATACTCGTGTAAAATGTCGGGTGATTAGTTCTTTTCTGCTATCAACACATACGCGTGGACAGAAGACAACTAGTAAAAGTTTGGGTCACCCCAATCATTGCTAATTAGTTTTGAGATAAGAGTTCAAAGTACTTATGTACTTTGGCAAATTTCATCCTGCTAGCTTCGACTTCGACTTCGACTTCCATAAACCAGGGCAAGAGGCGGATCTAGGGTGGGGGCCATGGGGTCTTGGCCCCACTAGCCCACCCTAGCCCTTTTTATTGTGTATATATATATATATTATTATTTTTATATAATAACAAACTTAATAATGATGCTTTATGTAATTTTTACTTTATTTTTACCTTAATTTACATTCTCTTAGTTGCATTTGGGATTCATTGTATATGGTTTTGTATTACTAGGTGCTATATGATTAAAAAAAAATTCAAATAATGTTATAAATTTGTGTGAAGCATAAATTCATTTAATAAAATCGTCAACTATATTTAAATCTTTCAATTTGAACAAATTGTCTTGTTCCATACTTTAGAAGCTCCCGACATGTATAAAATATTCATAATTTTTTTCTTTTGTACATGTACATGTATATCAAATACTTAACGCTTGAATGGTATAAGAATTATATTTTAGGTTAAAAGATAATATTATAGGATGCACTATAAATGTGAAAGCAGTTCGAGAATTTCATCAAAATAAGAACATTCTCTGTGATTAATAATAATACAATGATTGTATTATCAAAAAAAATTTGGCTAATGTAATAATGGCCCCCAGTAAGAATTTGTTCTAGATCCGCTACTAAACTTGGGTTGTTTCATCAGTTGTACAAAGTATTTGTTGTATGCACACAAAGGTCCAACATGGGAACAAGTACGAATCGTGTTTGATTGCGGTTGTATGATCAACGGTTCAAAAACTAATACTAAAGTATACTTTGGACACTAACGATGAACCCACGTCATCTGATAAGGAATGGAGGAACATGCTAACACAAGATGTGGGGAGTCCGTATCCAGTGCACCCGGGTGTATCGTATACCCCCCCCCCCACCAAACACACGCGCAACACGCGTTCAACTGTTTTCACATTTACATTAAATGCACAAACAAAATTGTTTTCATCCATTTCATCCTCACGCACAAACACACACAAACACACAGTCGACGGAAACTCTCTATTTTAGGGCAAATACAAAATTGACCACCACCACAAAATTACAGAAAGTCGACGGAAAACCTCCGCTGGAAGACGATTTTGATAACTTCATCTTCTCTCTGCGTTTTTCATTTTCTCTGGAAGACGATTGTCAGTCTGTTCTTTCACACACACACACACACACGCACACAGATGACGGCGAGAAACCCTACCTCCGGCCATCTCAAGCTCTCCTTCATCTATACATGCTTCACTCGTAAGTATATTACTCCGGGATCCTATTTTTTTGATTATCCAGCAATATTTTGTGTTTATCCACTAGATCTGAACTGGTTATCCATGTTTTCCTGCGTATGCTATGTGATGGTTGTCCATGCCATAATTGCTGGTTATCCACCCATTTCACACTGGTTATCCACAAGTTGTAAACTGGTTATCCACAGAGCATACTGGTTATCCACCCATTTCATACTGGTTATCCACAAGTTCTAAACTGGTTATCCAGAAGGTATAAACTGGTTATCCAGAAGGTGTAAACTGGTTATCCACAAGTTGTAAACTGGTTATCCATGACTTTTTTACATTTGATTCTATGTGGCATCGACAAACTGAACTGGTTATCCATGTTTTTGTGTTTTTTTGTTACTGATTATCCACTATATCTGAACTGGTTATCCATGTTTTCCTACGTGTGTGCTATGGGGTGCTTGTCCAAACTTTGTTTGTGGTTATCCACCCATTTTATACTGGTTATCCGCAGGGTGTAAACTGGTTATTCATTGTTTTTCTTAGATGTGCTTTTATGTGGCTACTTGTCCATACATTATTTGCTGGTTATCCATCCATTTCATACTGGTTATCCACAAATTGTAAACTGGTTATCCACATAGCATACTGGTTATCCACCCATTTCATACTGGTTATCCACAAGTTGTAAACTGGTTATCCACAAGTTGTAAACTGATTATCCAGAAGGTGTAAACTGGTTATCCACAAGTTGTAAACTGGTTATCCATGCTTTTTTTACATTTGATTCTATGTCGCATGGACAAACTGAACTGGTTATCCATGTTTTTGTGTTTTTTTGTTACTGATTATCCACTATATTTGAACTGGTTATCCATGTTTTCCTGCGTGTGTGCTATGGGGTGCTTGTCCAAACTTTGTTTGTGGTTATCCACCCATTTTATACTGGTTATCCGCAGGGTGTAAACTGGTTATCCATTGTTTTTCTTATATGTGCTTTTATGTGGCTACTTGTCCATACATTATTTGCTGGTTATCCACCCATTTCATACTGGTTATCCACAAGTTGTAAACTGGTTATCAACAAGTTGTAAACTGGTTATCCAGAAGGTGTAAACTGGTTATCCACAAGTTGTAAACTGGTTATCCATGCTTTTTTTACATTTGATTCTATGTCGCATGGACAAACTGAACTGGTTATCCATGTTTTTGTGTTTTTTTGTTACTGATTATCCACTATATCTGAACTGGTTATCCATGTTTTCCTGCGTGTGTGCTATGGGGTGCTTGTCCAAACTTTGTTTTTGGTTATCCACCCATTTTATACTGGTTATCCGCAGGGTGTAAACTGGTTATCCATTGTTTTTTTAGATGTGCTTTTATGTGGCACTTGTCCATACATTATTTGCTGATTATCCACCCATTTCATACTGGTTACTCATTTTTTGATTACTGCTCCTTTTCATATCCTGCTATTTTGTCCACTGACTTCTTAGTGATTGTCCAAGGCCAACAGTGCCCTAAAGGAACTTAGAACAAAACATAGGTACTAACGGATCAGCGCAAGCCACGACCTTAACCGCAACCCAGATAGATTACCGGATCCTGAACCAGAGGTAATAGAGCTCCCTGACGGAACACTAACGATATTTAAAAAACCAAAATCAACACAAGAAGAATAGTCCCCTGCTCAAAGTCCAAGGCCCCACAACTTGTGGAGGAAACCAAAGAGAAAGAAGAGCACGCCGACAGGAAATCCAAAGCAACTTGTGGTCGCTGATGATAATGACTCCGGTGATGATAAGAAGCCCAAAAAGAAAAGAAGGAAACCTGAGAACAAATTGATGATTGGTCAAGATGTTGTTGACCAATCATGTACTAGATATCAAACAGGAAGATGTTGTTGCTGTACTTGATCTTCCTCGTGGATCCAAACCAGTGGAAGAATTCAAACAAAACGATCTCGCTATAACAGAGCACGCAGAGATGGTGGATGCATTCAAGAAAAGAATGGGATACAGTAATAAATTCCTGCCAACAAGATCCACGGCGGCACAATTAATTGCTAGTCGAAAAGATTATGGTGATGACTTCAAACGAGATTTCCTGGTCTTCGTTGTAAGCACATTCCTACATGGAAACACCACCTCTAGAATCACTATGAACATCCTGAAGTCCCTTGTGAACATAAATGAGGTGACAAAATACAATTGGTGTGAATATGTGATTGATGCACTGGTCAAAGGATGCAAAGTCACCACAATGGGAAAGCATTCACCGGACCGATAACCTTTTTTCTGGTACTTACCATAGCCATACAAATTTTACTATTTATCCATATTGCTTGCAATGTTTATCCAATTTGCTTGTACTGATATCATAAACACCAACTTTTTTTCTTTTTTTTTTTGGTAGTTGTGCTAACTTGTCAGATGTGAGTATGAGAGAGCACATCCCAGGTCATTCCCTGTGATCAAATGTTGGGATCAAAAGATGCTGGAAAGACAGATTAAGACTTCAGGGAAGCAATTTCACGGATATCCAGACACTCGAACGTCTCAAGAAACCGTCCTCAATAGCATGTCGAGAAGAACACCCAGAGGGGGAATCACAGAAGGAGGATACACAAGCCAACCCCAACACACAGCAAGTCTATGTAGTGTTCTACCATTTTTTTTTCAGATGACACCTACGTATCCAACCTAGCATCTCCACATTCCACTCACTACATTCACTTTTGTAGGACCTTGCTGCTCTTTATGAAAAGTTTTACCGATTGATTATCACGATGAGCAAAACTGTTTTAGACATACGTGAAAAGGAAATGGAGTTAAAAATTAAACCAGATGAACAAGCAAAGCACACAATCAAGATCCTAATAGATTTAATGGTGTCGATGAGCAGAAAGCAGCAAGGCCCACAGCATCCAAAGGACCAACAACATCAACAGGAGCAAGAGCAACGCCGAGAAGTAGACCTCCAGGATGCACAGATTTGTGAATGGTGCGAGTTGGCATGGAAGGCCGCTGAAAGCAGGTTTGCAACAATAATAGAATGGCTGCAATGACAAGTAGCTGACCAACAACAACAACAACACCAACAAACTTGTGACAACACTGCACAAGCTCCAATTGATCCCACAAATTTTCAAGACATTGAAATTGACAAAGCACAGGGACTGGAGCAATTGAGCAAGACAAATGATGAGGATTCTCTTCCAGTACGAAAATTCGTGCCTATTTCAAAAGAAGTGGTTGTTGATGAATAACAAACTCAACCACAAGGTAATGAATATTTTGGTCATACATTTCTTACTGCTTATAAAAAATAAAAAAATATATATGTATGTTCACTTCGTTTGAACTGGTTATCCAATGTGTCCAATATATATGTATGTTCATACTGATTATCCAACATTCCAACTTTGTACTGCAGCACATGGAACGAATATCTCCACAACAAAAAGGAAGAGAAACCAAGAAAAGCAAAAAGCTTCAAAATCTTGCAAAAGAAGAAGAGGAGAAATGGCAGACAACAGATCCCATCAAGATTCCACCGGCCAGAATAGAGACACACAAGTGGAAGACAAGGCAAAATCCAATCAAGAATCAACCAAACTGGATTCAGGTGTGACACCCACAACAAACCAAACCGGTGCAACATCCACCTATACCAGAAGGACGAGAAGCACTGGTACCAGGAAAAGGAAAGTATTCAAAGACCCAACTATCCCACATTTTGGCCTGGGTATCTTCTCCAGTCAGGAAGACAGTTACGAGACAACCCAGGAGAAGAAAACTGAGGAAGACGATTCAGAAAAACAATTCAATGAGCATACCAAAGATGATGATGTTCTAGTACCAGCTCCAGTTGAAGAAACGAAAAATCCCAGTCATTCCATTGAAAATATCACAAGAAGTGTCGATTCGGATAAAGATGTCGATGAGACTATCGAAGCTGAAGAATATCCAGTACCATATGCACTCAACGAAACAAAGCATCCCACTCCTTCCATCGATGAAATCATAAGAAGGGCCAGTGCACCAGCTTCAAAATCATTAAGTGATACCAGAAATTTAGAGATGATTGCTGCTGCTGCAGAACAAGTTGAAAAGAACTCCAAGGTGGTTGAAGCAGTCCCTATAAGCATAATTCCACTCGATTGGAATATTGCTTCTACCACGGGTGGTCTACTGATGCTGGAGAAAAATGAGTGTACCACGCCACCGCCTGCAATCTCAAAGGAAGCTGATGAGCTTGATGATGAGTTAACAAAGACAGTGGAAAAGTAAGTTTGATCGACTATGACTCCCCACTACAAAATAGAAAGACGAATTTACATACTAACTCTCTTTTGTTTTGTCCTAGGATCCTCAATGAAAAACCTAAGAGGAGAAATCTAGCAAGAGTCCGTCAATTGCCTGAACGGTTGAGGTTGCCATTCATGCTTCAGAAGAAGAACAAGAAAAAATTCATATAGTGGACTGAGGAGAAGAAGAAAATGACCCAAGAAGAAGCCCTATTGATAGACTTCGCTCTCTTACAAAGAGAAGAAGAAATAGTTAAATCAGGATAAAAGTCACCATGCTTACCCGTGGGATAAAAAACTTACCAGTGTTCCAACTATTTGTCTATTCTTTTGACTAATTTTTCTATGCAGGAAACTCTTGTTTGAATTTGGAAAAATAGTTTGGGTAGACAGGACAACATTCTATTCCATGAGGGAAGGGACATGGATAGAAAACAGCATCATAGATGCTTGGGCTGTCATTCTAAACAAAGAAGAAGGTAAGAGTGACTCCCCAACACGGATATTCTTTGGTGTTTCGTCATTTGTAAGTCAACTAAACCCTTATTGTTTATCCCGTCCTGGTAAAATACTTGTCACATGTTTGCAAGTTGTTTATCCATATGTTTGTACTTATTATCCAATTTGTTACTAATGCTTGTCCACCAGAGTTGAACTGGTTATCCAAGCCTTCTTCTTATGCATTTTTCTATGGGATTGTTTTCGTCTCCCTTCTATGTGGTGGCTTGTCCATGATTCATTTGCTGGTTATCCATCTGTTCTGTACTACTTATTCACAAGATCTGAACTGGTTAACCATTCCTTCTTATGTGTCATCTAGGGTACTTTTGGTTGACCTTGTATGTGCTTGATTCCGATCATTGTTTTCTACTGCATTTTCCAACCATTGTACTGATCATTGTATCATTTTTCAACCATCTCAAACAATAACGTAGGATAAAATCATTCGCTACTATGAACAAGGCAGTAACAAAGACGAAATGGAGTTCACATTTTATGAGAGGTTGGCTCTTGAACTAGAAGAACAATGCCTTACTGTAGCATCCCTGTTAGCAGCAAAAGCTGTAAGCAACATCTTTCACCCCCTTCACTTTTTCTAAAACTGGCTGTTAAAAAATTTTCATATGATTTCCCCCTTCAATGTGAAATATCATATCTACTTCCCAATATACTACCAAGACCATTACTTATTGTATGTGTTGCTGGTTGAAGAAATGAAAGTGCTTGTATTCAACGATCTTCATGCAAAAGATCCGGACTACTACAACCCAACAAAAGATCTACTTGTGAGTGAAAAAAAGATACAAAATGACTGTCATACTTTAAGAATTATCCATTGCATTTTGCTGATCCCTGGATTTTATGGCATCACAGTTTCGGTTCTTCATAAGCTACATCGCATGTGTGTTTCCAGGCATAGAACTGGTCAGTACTCAATACACCTTCACAGAGGTCAAGCTACCATCGCATAAGGACAAAACGCCGAATGGAGAAGATTGTGGAATATACACAATGCATCACATGGAGCGGTATAATGGTGGTGAGTACAAGGATGGTACTACTTTGGATTTCAACACAAGAAACATCAAAGACTATCGGTGGAAATACATGATAAGAATCCTAATGCACCCAGTCAACAAAAATAAGAACAAAATCCTCGAAGCAATGCACCAGTTCTATACAAATACTGCTGAAGAAACAAAAAAAAAATTCCAGATCATGTTGATTTGAGCAGCGAATCTTACTACAATGACAGAAAAACTGAGGGATGGGTTAAATGAACTGTCATTATGTTCTCTTGTATAATTGATTGACTGTTGATCCTAAAGTGTTTGATATCCAACAGCTATGTAGTGGCCATCCTAGTATATTATCCAACCGTTTGTAATGGTTATCCAGGATCTTTGTACTAGTTATCCAACTTGTTTACACTTGATTATCCGAATGTTTTATAGTGATTATCCAGTCAAAAAAATGCAAGTACAGTCTTTAACCTGATTATCCATGAGTTTATACTTGTTATCCAAAACCTCAATACTGCTACCCATATGTAACCAATGCCTATCCACCATGTGGACATAACAAAACAAGGATTCAGACAGGGCTTCCAAAAAGACATAACAAAAGTCCTCGATTGGTACTGGACCTAAACCTAATCACTGTCACTGGGTATGTTCCAGGCACCATTCTCGTTGTTTCCATAAGAAAATATCCAGACAATGTATTTTGGTTGTCCAAATATTTCTGTAAATTCCCAAACAACAAAAACTGAGTGTCCCAATTTCTTGGTCTTTCTACTTCTTTGTTAAACTGCCTATCCTATGATGTTATACTGTTTATCCAATATTTCTTTGCTGATTATGCAATGCTCTGTATTGATTATCCAGGACTTTTGTACTGGTTATCCAGCCAATGTGCAGAATGAATTATGCATCAAATTAACTCAGATTCCATAAATTAACATAGATTAAAATTAACATAAATTAAAACAACAATAATCCGTCAAACTACCTCTGAGACTACAAAAAAGGCTATCCAACCCCCCGCCGATTATCACCGCCGGCACGAGAGTCTGTTAATTAAAGAAGCAAACGGCATATTAATTGGGGGACTTCGTCCCCATGATAAACTAAATGACTCCTACGGCTACCGGAATCGCAAGTCACCAACTTGCCCCGGCTGCGCCGCCCCGCCGAACACGCCAATGTAGCTAAGGTAATCTTTTTTGTGTGTGTGTGTAAGGAGAGTGTGTTATTGCGTTAAGAGGGGACACAAATTACTTGTATAAATCCTCCCGTGATAAACTAAACGACCCGGCTGCCCCTGTGCCCGCGGCTGTGCCGCCCCCCTGCCGAACACGGCAAATTTCATAAATAGTATTTAATTGAATGAGGGGCATTTTGCCAAATGATGGAGAACAAAAAATGAATGAGGGGCAATTAGCCAAATGATGGAAATAAGGTACGTTCAATTGTGTATAACTAATTATCCATATTGTCAATACTGGTTATCCAACTGTGTATAACTACTTATCCATAGTGCCAACACTGGTTATCCACATTGTGAACACTGGTTGTCCATAGTGTGTAGCTGGTTAGTGTGTATAAACTGAAAAACCACACGTTTTGTAATTAAATAGAATTTAAATACTTGTATAAATCCCCCGTGATAAACTAAATGACCCGGCTGCGCCGGTGGCCGTGGTTGCGCCGCCTTTCGCAGCTGTGCCGCTCCCATGCCGAACATGGCAAATTTCATAAATATTATTTAATTGAATGAGGGGCAGTTTGCCAAATGATGGAGAACTAAAAATGAATTAGGGGCAGCTAGATAACCAGTGTAAAAAATACGAACAAAGATATCCAAGAAAAATATAAAAGGAAAAAAATGATAGTCCACGTTGTCAACACTGATTATCCAACAGATTAATAATGGTTATCCAGTCATTTTCTAATAACTTTCAAACTGGTTTGTACTGGTTATCCAAAATGGTCTCAACTGCTTATCCTAACATTTGATACTACTTGTGATATTTTAATATAATTTACTTGCCCAATGTGTTAGTACTGATTATCCAAACGGTTTGTAATGCTTATTAAATTTTTACTTTGTTTTTATTCTTTATGAAAAATGCTTGTCCATAGTGTCAACACTGGTTATCCAGCTGTGTTTAACTGGTTATCCATAGTGTGCACACTGGTTATCCACAGTGTCAATACTGGTTATCCACAGTGTGGAGCATGTTACTGTGTATAACTGAAAAGCCACACGTTTTGTAATTAAATAGAATTTAAAAAATTGAGGGAGTAAAAATAAAAAAAGAAAACTGAAAAAGCTGATGTTTGTGCAGAGTACATCATGATCTAATGGGTAGTTACAGAGCCACACGATTTTACATGGAATGGATTGAATAAGGATCAGTTACATAACTGTCATTAAATGAGTTTTTTGATTATCACAATGACAATTAATGAATAGAGAGTGAGAAGACACTGATTTGTGCAAAAAGATAGGACTACATGGGTAATTAATCCGTCAAACTACCTCTGTCAATATCAGAAAAAAAAACTACCTGCAAAGTCTCCATAAAACTCCCTGACATCTCCACATACAGCATTTCTATAAAACTCACTCATCTGCACATACACCAGAACACGCCTGATTTGAGCATCCAAAACATCCAACAGCCAGAAAAAAATGAAAAACGAAAAAATTTCCTCAAATTCCACAACCAAACAAATGTCTCCCAGGCAAGCAAAGCAAGAAAAGAACAACTACCTTAATATATCCATCACGATATGCTTGATAATATGTTCATTAATTTGACATTGGAAAAAATTGGTGAGTTTCGTCGTGTCAGCAAAGCTTGGGAGCAAATGACGAAAAGACAAGAATTTGTTCTTAGAAAATGTGAGATGAGCTACCCTACAACTGAAAACAACATCCTTGTTTTCACTCAAACAAGCCAAGAAGGTCACCTGTTGCAAGACAAACTAATCGCCACCAACATAAAAGTGCAAATGGATAACCCATGCAACCACATACGATTGAAGAAGAGATGTCGATGGGTGACGACGGCATCCATAAAATCATGCCTGTCACCACAGATTTGGTCTGTCTGCAAACCAGGTCTCAAATCAAATTCTTGAACCCAAAGACAACACAACTTATATCAATTGAATGGCCATATGATGTCCCTCTCAGCAATTGTGAAACAGCATTTGGGTACGTATCATCCTCAAAAACTTACGTTTTCATGGCCCTTATTGCCGATGGAAAAAACATGCAAGGCTGCATTTTTTCTTTTCAAAGTTGTTCAAGTATTCATAGAGGGGAATGGAAAATACTTTGCAATGTATGTCCTCGCCTTGTACCTGATGGAACCTGGTTTGATAGATTTGTGTACTGGCGTGTAGACAAACTATCCTCTGAAATAGCAACATCTCAAGAGTTGCTGGTCGTGTTTGACTACCACACTCATCAATTCCAAACCATAAACTGCCCTCAATCTCCAATCTTCTTTAACCCCACTGATCCTTATCATATGAATCTCTAAGTGAAAATATTGGACTTCCAGGGGATTGTGTGTGTAATAGATGAATACCACATTACTCAGAATCATCACTGTCAGATGTGGGCATGGGATCCAGATACTTCCACATGGGATTGCATGTTCGAGACCCATGAATTCCCAAGTGTGAACAGACACGTTCCACACGGATTACAGTTCCGCCATGATTGGCTTTATCCAGTGTTTCTAAGCCACAAATCATCTCTAGCGGGACAGTTCATTGTCAAAAGATACGGTAATCGACATTTGCTGTTGTATAGTGTTCCTACCAGGAAAATCACACACTCAAGTACATCGCCGGATCTACAAACCAGTTTCATCATTACAGCATGTTACTTCTAGGAGACATTAACACACTTTTAGGATTTTTTTTTTAAAAAAAAAATTTATCTTTCCCTTGTTAACTTATTACTAAAAATAATTGTCCATTGATCTTATACTGGTTATCCCAGGACTTTATACTAATTATCCACATTATCTATGCTGGTTATCCAATGATATTATTTGTGAAGAAAGCGTGTTCAACGTGTTCATGTCTTTTTTGTAATATCTATATGCATTTAAAGTTGCATATCCTGTACAGGCAAATTGGATATCTAGCACAAACAAGTTGGATATGCATACAAACCCGTCGGATTACAACTACAAAACAAGTTGGATAGGCATACAAACCCAATGGATGGATATCCAGTACAAGCGACCTGGATATCCTGTACAAACGAAATGGATATCCAGTACAAACAAGTGGGATATCCATTACAAACAAGTTCGATAGGCATACAAACCAAATGGGTGGATATCCAGTACAAACAAGTTAGATAACCAGTTCAAACTAGTTGGATAACCATCATAAACACAATGGATAACCAATTTAAAATAACCACTTGGATAAACAGTACAAACAAAATGGATAACCAGTTCAAACTAATTGGATAATACTGCAATTTAAAATAAATAATACTTTTTAAATAAAAATCTTTACACCATCAATACTGTTTATTTCAACATCAAGTAAAAATACTAATAAAACATCTTGTTGAAGAAACGCTGTGCTCCAGCCTCCCTGGCAGCTTCCCTTCGGTTAGGAAATGAGAACGCACCAAAGTTTTGATTCATAAATGTCATGTTTTGATGAGAAGCATTCACAGCAGCGAAAGTGCTTGCGCCTAGAAACTCCTGGCCAGCTCCCTTGAGAATTGGAAATGAGAATCCACCGGAATTTTTCGTTGATGAATGGCATGCTTTGATGAGAAGCATTCACAGAAGTGGAAGCCCCTGCCCCTGAAAAATCCTGGGCAGCTACACTTGGATTAGCAAATGAGAATCCACCAGAGTTTACGTTCAAAGATGACATGCATTGATGGGAAGCATTCACAGCAGCAAAACTTCCTGAGTCTGAAAAACCTTGAGCAGCTCCCTTTGGATAAGGAAATGGCATGCTTTGATAATGCAGGTCTGATGCAACTGAAGTTCTTGTTCGGTCAGCAGCAATTCTTGCATTTGTTTTCCTGCCTCTAACTTTGTTACATGCCTTCTCAACAATGCTTTTAGGACGTTCGTTCCTGGGACCAAACTGCTTCCTCTTTACAGCCGGATTCTTTATAACACCATCATTGTCTATGAACTCATCATTATTATTCGAACCAATGAAACTCCCGAGTTCTTCTTTAAGCCTGTCAACCGCCTCGTCACAACATTTCTTTGCATCTTTGTTATATTCACTTGCATACACCAAGTCTGAAAATCGTCTCATAATTAGCGTCTTCCACAACAATGGCCCAACAGCTTTTCCATCTCCCTCATTAGCTATGCTTGACCTGGCACCATAACCTTTTGTCCATCTCATACATATATAATCTTTAGGAAACTCATCAACAGAGGTTACATGACAGATTTGAAAAATGTGGCAACAAAGCATGCCCACCTCAGAGTAGTACCTGCACGTGCATGAGAATCTCTGTAACCTAGTGTCATGTACAACCACATGCTTAAAGTGCTCTATCCTAAACTGCCAAACATTGTACGTCACAATATTGCCATCATTTGAGACCTCTAACTGCTCCTGCCTACACAACATCCCATCTTTGTCCAAAAGCTGAACCTCCCTAAATGCTTCAACTGTGTCCACTCTGCGAATGCTCTCCAGGAAAGGGTCACCAGGAAGATATGAATCGATGTTTCCCTGGCTACAGCGTAGATCTTCACCCCTCACAGCTACCCGCCAACAGTGTACAACATCAGAGAAAATTCCATGGAAATCACAAAGCGATGATGTGGCCTTCATTTTACGACAAATTGCATTATTTATTGACTCGCTCCTCTGTGAAGACAAGGTACCACCAGAAAAAACATCTTTGCTAAATGCAGGGCACCACATATGCCTCACATCATAAATACCATTGAGCCATTTGTCATCATGACAATCATACTCATCCAATAATCTGTGCACAACAATATAAAACACATGCCAATTCGCTTTCTTAAATTTTCACCTATGTACCATACACAGAGACGATGCCGAGAACTTGGAAAACATGTCTGAATACTTGCAGCAATGGAAGGTGCTTGATCTATCATTATGGTTTGTGGCTGCTTATCTCCCATTGATTTCAAAAACTGCTTGAACAACCAATCAAAAGAGGGTTCTTTCTCGTTTAACACAAAACCACAACCAAACATGACATTCTTGTTATGATTATCCATACCCACAAACGGATCACAGATCATTCCATATCTGTTTGTTCGATACGTCGTATCAAACGCGAGCAAGTCACCAAACAAATCATAATCCTTTTGCATTCTGCCATCCCTCCAGAAGAAAGTACACAGTCTACACTGTTCATCACAGTCAAAATCAAAGAAGAAATCTTCTTCAGTTTCCTTCTTGTCCCAAAAAATCTTCATCAGCTGATTAAAATCACCACCTTCAAATCCAACACCAGGACGCTCATAATTGTAGGCATCTCTCAAAGTATACTTCATTTTCAAAGTACACCGAAAATTAACCCTCTCATGGCATACATCACCATTTCCACCGGATCTCTTGTATCCTTCGCAGTTACAACAGAACTTCTTCATCCTAACTTTATCAGTCTTACCTCTAAACTTCTGTTTTCCCACTCTCACACTAAAACCAATCAATCGGGCATGATCATTATACAAGCCATAAGCTTCTTTCTCACTTCTCGCAGTCTTGCCAACTAAAGTAAAAACAGCCAAATCATTATTCTTCGTCACAGATGAAATTTCCTTGCGCAAGGCATCCTCCTCCACCATCACATTATCAACTCCCAATTCATTGCCGCTATTATCTTCGCCACATTCTGAGAAAAACAAAAGAGATGGTTGGATAACTATTACCAAGCAGTCGGATAATCAGTATTAACACAATGGATAAACAAACATATAAACAAGTTAAAAAACCTACCCTTGAGAGCAGATGTAACTTCCATGCGCAAAGTATCATCCAGCATCACATTATCCCCCAACTCATTGATATGGTTATCTTTTACAAAAAAATGAGACAAACGAAAAAACAAAAAATTTAAAAAAAAAATCTTTGATACACCAATTCAATATAAACAACTCAAAAATGTTAGATATCCAGTACAAATCAGTTGGATATCCATCAAATAAAATTTGCATAGGCATGTAAATCCGTTGGATAACCAGTACACATAAGCTGGATAGCCAGTACAAACAAGTTGGGTATCCAGTGCAAACAAGTTGGATATTCATACAAATTTCATACAAGTTGGAAAACCAACACAAAATGAGTAGGAAAACCAGTAAAAAAAAAAAAAAAAGGTTCATAATTAGTACTTCGCATCATCTATCCATGTTTACCACAATCAGCAAAAAGCATATCCGCATATCCGTCTAAATAACAAACGATATCCAAGACAGCATAACTGCTTATCCACTTTATACAACATTAACAAAAACTATCAAAAGAAAAATCAAGAAAAATAAAATGAAACAACTAGATTGATTCTTCCCTCACAAACAGTACACTCCGAAACCTACGCAAACCTGATTGCAGCGGATCAATAACAGAACTGTGACCTTGCGTTGATTTGTTGGCACAGTAAGATTGTTCGATGGATTTGCTACCACTACATTCCACATTCATCAAGCCGGAATCCTCAACGAGATAACTCATCACTCGATCTGAACTCAACATATCGTCGATCCAATCATCGTTTCGCCACTCTGGTGGAATCGGAGCCTTTCCTCGATCGCTGAACACCCTCGCCGTCTCAACGACTCGATCGCTGCTGGCCGTGTCCACCTCAACGCCTCGATCGCCGACTCCCATTGCCGCCTCAATGCCTCGATCGCCACCGGCCGTCGCCCAATAGTAATACTCCATCACAAAGTTTTCAAAATTTGAATGAATTTGGTAATTTATATATGAGATACCCCTGGGTAAGTTTACTCTCGCTATTATAAGAGAGTAAAGTACACGCGCAGGAGGGTACACGGTACCCCTGGGTGTACTAGATAATTTGCCTCTCGTACTCATCAATGCCTTAAGGTTGTTGAGTTCATTGGTTGGGCTGGAGTGAAAGCAGATTCCCAACTTGCTAATTATCTGATCCACACTACTGCTGATTCTCTAGAGAAAATCCTAGTTGATCACACCATTCCATATCAATAGTTTGATTTTTTGAAATGGTGTCACAAGCCTTTTGGGAATATGACAAGCCTCTGTAAGCCGCACAACGGATGGCTAAGGCCCAATGTAAATACACATGCGTTGAATTAGTTAAATATGACTATAAACTCGTTTGCATAACATATTATAAAAATGATCTGATTACATGAGATTTAATTTTTTTTAGAACAAATTCAAATTTGATTAGATAACTAAGATATGATTACATATAATCGATATAATCGATTTGGACTCCTAAATGTAACAAAATAATAATTTACTTTTTAAATATTTACTCTTTTTTTATTGGTATCTTTGGGAACTCTACCAAGGATGGGGAAACCCACACCCACTGCAATAGCCTATACACCACAAAGGGAGGTAATGAATAAGTTATGTAGTAATTGAATAAGTTATTTTGATAACGTGTATGATTGTGTGGATTTCTACGTGTCAATCACAAGAAAAGTACAATTGAAAGGGTTGTTTTCCTATAATGTTCTATATATATATATATATACATACATATATGTGTGTGTGTGTGTGTGTGTGTGTGTGTGCGTGTGCACACTTACACATATGTAGATATATCCTATTAAAGCAAAACAATTTTCTAATTTTTTTATTTTTTATTTTTTTTCAAGATGAGAATCTTCAAAGTTTTCAATAGCATTTTCAGGGTATGACATACTCAAAGTCAGCCTTGCTACCATTGAATTACAGACATTACAAATATCCAACCAAAAATTTCTCACATACCGCTTAAACCACTATTTAAACTTAAACCCGAAAATCTAATCAGTAACCAGGACCAAAATCTTCTAATATTCTGTTCACATGTCATTGATGATGGGGATTGGGATGATAGGGGTTGGGAAACTGCATTGCAATATCTGGAGAAGTACTAGCATATCCAGCAACCTCTACAGACACTAGAAGGACGGTCACATTCACCCCCCAACTGTAATAATCTTTGAAGAGTGTAAATGCTCGCGCCTCATCTATGGTAGAAATTAAAAGATGATTTTTTTTTTTTTGGGTAAAATGTTAACTTGTATTCATCACTTCACAAAACAAAACTGTACACTATATTGGTTGCTATTACAAAACTTTCTGTACAAGCATCTCATCTCAAGAAACTAAGTAAACCTATATTTTTCTTTGCCTTTTGCAAGCTCAGAATCCTGCATTTCATTTCATTTTTTATCTTCTTCATTCTGTGTTTTGCTATCTCCTCCAGCTTCTCAAACTTTCTGTTGTTTCTTTCTAACCACACATGATACACAGTGACATTCAAGCAAGCAAACAGTAGCTGCTGCTTTGCAGGTGCATATTTCCACATATTGATCAGTCTTCCTGCATTCAAACATTTCACATTCTTCTTGATCCCTAACCAATTTTTAATACCTTTCCATATCTCCTGAGTATATGCACATTGCATGAACAGGTGTTTTCTAGTCTCCTCTTCTTTTCCACAACACACAGATTGGTTCATTGACTTGGATAGCCATCCTCCTTAACCTATCCACTGTCAATAGTCGATCCTGCCAAGCCAACCAACTAATGAAGTTGTGTTTTGGCACACCAACTGAGGACCAAATGATCTTAGCTGGCCTGTAATCAGTCTGATCTCCTCTAAACCAGCTATAACCACTCTTTGCATTGTATTCCTTCCAAGCATTATGTTCCATTTGCTATTCTGAATTCTTGTTTTCATCTGATCCTTAATCTTGCCAATCTTCTTCCAATGCCAACTACTATCCTGTGGAGCTTTGTAATCCCACCATCACTTTTGCTTTATATAGTACATGTAAACCCATCTCACCCATAGACTCTTCTTCTTCTTAGCAATGTCCCAGAGTTGCTTCCCAATAAGTGCCTTGTTCCATGTTCCTGGCTCTTTAACATTCAATCCACCTTCTCCTTTACTTCTATAGACCAAGTCCCATGCCAATAGTTATTTAGCTTTGCCATTCACCTTTTTCCCCCATAAGAACTCTCTACAACTTTTACTGATTTGCTGGATTACACTACGAGATATCAAAAAAATACTAGCCCAGTAAGAATTTAGACTCACCAACACTGAATTCACAAGTACTGTTCTTTCTGCATAGGAGAGATGCCTGGAAGACCAGCATTTGATCCTTGCAGTGACTTTATCAACCATCATCTGACATTCTCCTTGGCTCCAAGCTGTTGGTGAGATTGGTATGCCTAGATATTTCATTGGAAACTGGCCAATTTTAAACCCCATGATCAATCACCTTCTTTATCTCCTTCACTGTACTAATATCAGCAGCACTAAATATTAGTAAGTCATTTGCAAAGCACAATGTTGAGATCTTAAGCTTCTCACAGTAAAGATGAGGAGCCAGCAACCCTTGCTCCAATTTGATCTTAAATCATCTTGTGAGATATTCCATTACCATTAATATAAAGATCAAAGGAGACATTGGATCCCCTTGTCTCAAACCCCTTCCTCCTTGAAAAAAACCAATCATATTGCCATTCAAATTAAGAGTTTTGTGCAAGTGGTTACACATTCTATCATCCAACCAATAAATTTACTAGGGAAGCCATAATGCAGCATCATTTCTTCTATAAACTCCTAACTGATTGAATCATAAGCTTTCCTCAAATCTACTTTTATAATACAGCTTGGCTTTGCATCTTTCCTATTATATTTTCTGATCAACTGTTGAGATAAAAGCATGTTATGCAGTATAAGTCTTTGTTTGATGAAAGCTCCTTGATTCAAATCAATTTGCTCAGGAAGGACTTTACTCAACCTCTTACAAATCATTTTAGTAATACAATTGTACAATATGAAATTGGCCGATATTCAGTGGCATCTTTTGGACTAGTATTCTTAGGAATCAAAGAAATTAAAGTAGTATTAAGTTGTTTCAAGAGTTTACCTATCCTGAAATACTCCAATACTGCTTCACTCACCTCCTCCCCAACAATGCTCCATGTTTTTTTTTTATAGAATTCACTAATATATCCATCATGACCTGCACTCTTATTCCCATCTATGCTGAAGATTACTTCTCTTATTTCAGCTTTTGTAAAATCCTTAGTCAGGAGTATCTGCTAGTCTACAGTCAGTTTAAACCCTAAACTAAGGATTCTACTATCAGCTGATGTATGATTCACAGTCTTCCCAAGCAGTTCTTCAAAATACTGCACAAAATGCTCCTCCACCTTCTGGCTATCGTCTTCCAACTCTTCCTGCAGTATTAATGAAGGATCTGATTTTCTTTCTACTGCTTCTCTCTTTCAGACTTGCATGAAAAAATTTGCTATTCATGTCACCTTCCTGTACCCACTTATCTTTAAGCTTTTGAGACCAAAAGCCTATGACATTCCTGCTAGCCTCTACATATGCATCTCTTGCAGTCTTTTCATCCAATTGAAGTGCTTCATTCTCAGGATCATTACTAAGCTACTCCTGAATTGTGGTCAAGTTCCTCTGGCATTCTTGATATTTTATCTCCACACTCTCATACTTCCTCCTGTTTATATCTCTTAGAGGCTGCTTCAGCATTTTCTGCTTTCTGACAACCCTGAATTGTTTTGTTCCAGCTATCTCCTTCTGCCATATTTCCTTAACTATCCCTTGAAACTCAGAGTTCTGTGTCCACATATTAAAAAACCTAAATGGTTTTCTTCCTTCTGTTGGTTCATCCCCCACCTTATAAGTAATGCACAGTGATCAGAAATCCCAACTGCAAGTACTGTTATATAAGCCGCATTAAATTGGTTGAACCATTCTCCATTACCCAATGTTCTATCCAATTTAGACATGATTCAGTTCTCTCCCACTTGCCTGTTCCACCATGTGTATTTTCCTCCATGTGTTGGCAAATCCTAGACTTCACTTTCATCCATCCATTGTTTGAATTTATCAATATCATAGCTCACTTCATTCCTCTCTCCTAATCTCTCATCAATATTGATAACACAAATTGAAATCTCCCAACACTAACCATGCTCCTGTGACTTGATTTGCAATCTGTTTCAGCTCCTCCCATAAAGCAATCCTCTCTTGAGCTAAATAGCTGCATAAACCACTGTAGCATGGAAACCAGTATTGTTGTTTTGATTCTTTACCCAACAATAAGTAAGTTGAGGTCCAATACTTTGTACTTTGACATCATAATCTCCTTTCTTCCACAAAACCAGAATTCTACCTTTACCATTCCCTTCTTGATTACTACAATACTCAAACTGATTCTACTGCTTGGACACCACTTCTTTTGACTTATCTCTCATTAACTTTGTTTCAATATGCCAGCAAACCCAACCTTATTCATAGAGAGGTATGTAGTAACCTCTCTATGCTTTAGGGGACTGTTTAGTCCCCTTATGTTCCAGCTCATGATGTTGTTCATGTTGACTAAACCCTGTAAAAGGGTGAGTAGTATCAACTGAACAAATCAGGTTTATTGAACTCATTTTCTCACTATTCCTCCCACTAACCATCTTCATACCCTTCTGATTATGTATTCTTATTCCATCATCAATAGCCTCATTTTCAGACTCACTGGATCTTCTATCACCCCTTATACTTCTCACTTCCTGAGCCTGCTCCTTCATGATAACACCCTTTTCCACTTCCTTTCCTGACTTTTCCTCCCTTTTCCTTTCTTCTTGTTCTTGTTCTGATTTATACTTAGCTGTTTGAGACGTTGAATTTCCATATACTTTTTGCT